CTGTCCTATTTCACATTATTTGTCTCACATTGCCTTTCACAGATCAGTACACTGAGTCAGCTAAATCTGTAGCTTCAAACTTGGAGACTTTACTTTAGTATCTCCCAAAAAAATATTGCAACCAGAGTTGTGCTGAATATACATAAACACTCCTCTCTTTTTCCAAACAAGTGATTCTTTAACATTTTATCTTTCAATGGATAGTATAGATTTAATTCCCATGTGGCTTTAAGCTTCCCTTATAAACTGTGTTCCTGGATATAGGTATTTCATGTGTCCAAAATCAGCCTTTTTCATTAGCTACTACACCTCCCTCCTTCAACAGAGTAACTGCTACTGAGTTTATGTGTCTCTGCTGGGGGCTCAGTACCCACAAAAATCTGCTGTAAAAAGATTGCATGACTTCTCATATAGTCTGCTTTTTGTCTAGTGCTTTCACAGGGGTTACTCTCAGACATGGCAGGAAGTCCCTCCCGGGTCACTCCACAGGTACACGGCCTCACGTGTCTTCCCTGTGCATTTCCTCAACACAGGGCTCACATTGTACAGATGATTCCATGGAATCAATGTTCAGGGGTTGGGATGAACCTTAGAGATCATCCAGACCCATCCAGGGATGCCTCCAACCAGACCAGGTTGCTCAAGGCCTTATCCAGCCTGGCCTGGAACACTGACAGGGCTGGTCAGCCATAACCTCCATGGACAACTCATTCCAGTGTCTCACCACTCTCACTGGGAATAATTTCTTCCTAACATCCAGCCTAAAATTCCCCTCATCCTCATAAAAAAGAGTCCCTCTCCAGCTTCGCTGTGGCCCCCCTTCAGATACTGGAGGTCTCCAGACAACCTTCTCTTCTCCAGGCTGAACAGCCCAAACCTTCTCAGCCCATCTTGATGGGAGAGGTGCTCCCGTCCCCTTATCAACTTTGTGGCCCTCCTTTGAGCTTGTTCCAACAGTTTTATGTCCTTCTGTAACTCAATGACATTTAAAAATGTGCTAAAACAAATGAAGCTGTTAACTTCATTTGCAGGAATTTGAACTTAACAATTTGGTCTTATTTTGTGGGAATTGTGACCTTCTGAATTTTACACAGAACTCTTGTTTCTATGCAGCATATACTAGAGCACTGCTGAAGAATGGGAATCAATGGGTTTTTGCAGCTCTTGTTGCATGTCACATGACAAGTCAAAAATGTTATTTTTATGTGCAACAGCAATGAAACAAGCTACATCCATTAATTTTTGCCTCAGCAAAAAACTTGAAAAAAACCCAAAACAAACTGACAAACCCTATTTCACATTTTAAAATAACTAACTGCTCTTAAATCATGCCTGTGCTGCTGTAATTATTTGTGCCTGCAGCCTTCCTCAGATTTTTGCAGCAGCAATCACAAGTTGCTGTTCTCCGGAGTAGTGAAAACCCAGCAACAAAAGTCCTGTGACTGAAGTGCAGGATCAGATGATCAGTTCATTCAAGATTAGAAACACAGTGAGGATAAAACCCAAGCAATTACCTTCCCCTCCTTTGAGAGGCAGGGAGGAAAAGAAGGGATCAGTGTACCTGTGAAGAGGGCGTGGTAATGCAGACCCTTCTCTTTATCCTGATGAGAGCAGACATCAAATAAATATGCTTTGATTGGACCATCAATAAAATCAGCTGCAAAATCAAAAAGTACTACTCCCAGCATGGTAATGACTATTGCCCACGTCCGCTGCTTGTCTCTCTCAGCGATGAAAGCTAAAAAAAGAAAAACACCCTCATTCTGACAGCAACAGTGCCATGTTCTGCAAAACCACATTTAGTCTTTCCTGACACTTCAAAATCTAAACAACAACTGGTTACACAGGAGAGCCCAGTGACACCAGAATCCCATAAGAGAGGCAGGAGAGCTGAGTCTGTGTAGTGCTGAGCTGGGCTAGGCTGACTTACTGCCTTGAGCCAACACATGCTCAGAATGCTTCAAGCTCCACAGCCAAGAGCATCACAATCCTAAATCTATTCCTTAACACCTCCAAGGCACGCTCTGGTAGCCTAACACATGCGTTTTGTAATACTTTCCGTTTATTCTCTTTGCCCAACCCTTATATTGTTATAGATAATCAAGAGTTGACTGCAACATCTCTCTCTGGGTCAATGAAATCAAGTATACTCAAATATTCAAATCAAGTATATATCAATAATATCGAGGAAGAGAGAACAAATCAATCCATAAAACACACACCTCCCCCATCTGCCTAGTCAGCAACAACTTTGTATCAAGACTTTAAGAAGCCATATCCCAAGCCAAAATGTAACAATATGGATGTCACTTCTATTGATTTTGCTTGTTTCAGCTGCAACTGAGTTTTCAAGAAGTTAAGGATTTTTGGTTTTCACTAGCACGGCACAAGAGTCAAGCCAGTGCTGCAATAATTGAAGGCGAGTATTTTGAATACTAATCCATCTAAAACAGGGATGAGCGGGGATTCAGTTTGGGTATGTATTACATCACAAAAACAATACTATCATTTAAGCTAACAAGGTAGATCTTAGCTCATGAAAACTTCTGTGGCCTAAGCAAATCTTTACCTGAAGGAGCTTGTCAGGCAACCAAATCAACATACAACAGACTGCAATCACATGCACAGACTACAGAACACTATGCACAGGGTACATAACATGCAGTGTTAGAATTGAATGTACACAGAGATTACGGCACTCCCCAGCTCCTTCAGTGCACCCGAGTCACACGATACCAAATTTTAACAGTGCATTTTAAGAAGGAAAAGGGGAACCCCTCTCCTTTTTCTGATTTGAAAGGCTAGGATGAGTTTTGTCTGTCAGCACAATGCATGCCCCTCACTCACCTGAGATCATCACGTCCCCATTGAGGTACAAAGCCATGCCTAACAGCATTATGATGCCCAGACCCAGAATGTAAGGTCGCCTCCTGCCCCAGCTACAGGTGCAGTGATCACTGGCTGAACCTACCACGGGCTGCAGCACGAAGCCCAGGATAGGGCTGATGAGCCACACGAGGCTGTAGAGGTTCTTGGGCAGCCCTACACTGAGCAGCACCGGCGTGACAAAGGCAGCCTCCACGGCATAGCAGAACTCCCGGCCGAACATGGCCATGCTGTGCATGACCAGCCTTCCCACCGCTCGCCTCCTGGGCACCGCTGCTCCAGTCCTCATCACTGCCTGCCTTGGGGCCTCCTCCTTCTCCCTGGTGCCATCCATGTCGGCCTTGGCCGCTCCAGAGGCGGGCAGGAGAGCCCCGTGGAAGCTCTCCTTCGTTAAGGTCATAGCTCCGGCTGCGAGCAGCGCCGTGGCAGGCTGGTGCTGCCTGCTCCGGCTGACATGGGGCCCAGATCATATGCCGGGTGGGATCGGTCTGTGCTGGGGGAGGGATCACATACTTTCATGGCTCTGTGATCACAAGTTATGCCAGGAAGGGGGCGGGGAAGCGTGTGTTCACATTAGCTGATCTGAGCTTTTGGGCGTCTGCGCTGCTCCCGACTATCTATCCACAACTGAGGAATTACTGTTTGCGCATGAAGCACACATACAACGGGAACATGCATCACATGGTCCGGGCGCAGGATTAGCCTGACACAAAGCTGCTCCTCTTGCTGAAAGATCTTGCTGTAAGATGGCAGTGACACCAGGAACCCAGTCTTCATCTTCCCATTCAGCAAACATGAGCATCAGACCATTCCCTGCTGACTAACCTGGGGGGAAAAATCCCTATCTCTCTGGAAGAGGATTTCAAGGCACTTCATAAGGATGAGTAAGTGAACCTATCCATTGCCTTGGAGCCTTAGAGGCAGATATAATGCTTGGCAGGAATCTGTCAAGCAGCAACTGATGAGTACTTTTTTGTATGTGATGTGTACTGCCCTCAAAAGAACTGATTATTTCTTGGTTTCTGAAAACAGAGTATCAGAATTACTTATAAGAGGGTTTTTTGAACAGTCTTTCTTGCCTTGAAAGAAACCTGTATTGACCTTACTCAAACTGTACCTTTCAGGTTAGCCACCTGAGGAGGCAGCTGATCCAACCCATCCTGAAGAAACACAAGGTTTTAAACTGACATCAGTAATTCTGGTTTCAGAACTTATCCATGATGGACATCATATCTGACAACGCTGATTTTTCTCCAACACAATCAGATATATCTGGGACTAAGAAACTTGTCAAGTCCTGTGGCAACTGTGTATAAAGTTCAGTAGCTTACACTAGACTATGAGCTGGAAACCCCAGGTGTTTTTGCTGATGGTTTAGACAACTTGCCAGGACCTACTAGATAATTCTTGCTTCCAGACTGTGGTTTATGTAGTAGAATGTAAAAGGTTTTCTTATGGTAATAATGTTGACATTTTTGCCACAACACATTAAAATGGGCTAAAGTATAGCTCAGCTTTGGAAGCCTTTGTAACCAACAAACCAAACTTCAAAATTATCTAAATACCCAACCCTTCATGTTATAACTCCTCACACCTTGGACAATACTGTAATAATGCCATATAATTAATTATTTTTAAAAGCATATTTTCTTTTGTCTTGAAAGAAATGGTTTCAAATGAAAGTTTAAGTTTGAAGGAAATGAAAACCAAATAACCATTGTTTAAAACCTGCACAGCAAAGTTGCCTACCATTTTTCCATAAGGAGAGGAAAGGATTATTAGTTGGCAGATATTTTAAAAACAAAAAAGTTTGATTCTGAATTTAGTTTCTAGCCAAGGTGATATTCCAAATGTAACGCATTATAAGGAGACTGTATAGAGAAAATGTAATCAGGCTGTTAAACAGATCAACTTTGAGATAATAGCTCTGCAGCAGCACATGAAAGAATAGCATTAATTAGACCATAGTTTCAGCATGATAAAACATTATTTTTAATTAATTAATTAATTTAACTAATTAATATGAAAAATATTACTTAAAATGAAAAATAAATTAACATGAAAATAGATGAAAAAATCCCTTCTAATTCATGAATAAACAACACAATCACTCATTTAAGAAGAATATAACTATATTTTATTAAAATAATTGCTTTCAAGTAATTACAACATGTATTACAAATCAATGGTGTAACCAAGAATTAAAATAATCAAACCAAAGGTTACAGTATTTAAACAACATTCTGAGAGTTTACAGGTGCTCAACAAGTAAACTGTGTAGACCTTCCGAACACAACTATAGTATCATTCTAGACAACAGATCATCCAGGTACGCAAGTACACAAGTCTCACTGTTTTCAAATTAAATTTAAAATGTCAACAATTTTAAACATATAAATTACTTAATATTATGCCAACATTTACTTGTCATATAGTTCAATTTTAAAGCACAAAAGCTTACAGTATCAGCCTGAAATTTATCTCATATGCATAGTCAGAGATTATAAACTAGCTTTTAGGTCCTTGATTTCTATTGTTTTATCAGAATGAAGTTTAGCAATCTCTTCCTTAGTAAACCCATATTCTAGAAGTATGTCTTCTGTGTGCTCTCCTACAAAAGGATCTCTTTTACATGATGGAACAGCAGGAGTCCTAGATAGAACAGGAGCAGGTCTAGGACTTATCTCTCCCGGATCATTTTTGATAAAAGAACTTCTTTCTTTGTTATGCTGATGTGAGGCAGCATCCTCGAAGGATAGAACAGGGGTCACACAGGCGTCAGTGCTATCGAATATGCTGCACCACTCAGCCTGTGTCTTCTGTGCAAATATGGATGCAAATTTTTTCTTCATTTCAGGCCAGTGGGAGAAACTCAACTGAGCAGGGAGTTCATCTAAATTTAGCCCAAGACCTGAAAGGAGAAAAGTAAAGTTTAACTATAGTACAGCTTAGATAATTCACTAAGTGCTTCTCACAACTAAGTGTATTCCTCAAGAAGACAGTATTTTGCAGGCAATACTACAGTCACTTTTAACTTTATTTGGGTATCTGTGCAGGGCAAGGAGCAGAATAATAAAATGTTCTATGATACTTGCAATTAGACTAAACTGCATCAAGTACAGCCTTTTAAGTACATAACTATAATAAGCACTCATTTGTATGAACACTTCACAGAAGCAGCAGCTGCCTCGAGGTAATAATGTCCTGAGAACAGCTTGATAGTAGGATCATATTCTCTACCTGGCACTAGCAACACGGAAATCTGCTGAATGGATCCTGTACTACTGGGACACACATGACAGATGACAGACTTTGGACCTGGTTAGTGTAAGAGTGACCTGCTTCTTCACTGCACTGTCCAAAGAGGCTCCAGCAGTGTCTCCTCTCGCTCTGCTCCAGCTCACTCCCCAGGTTCCAATTCCCTCAACCCTTTCACTCACCAGCTGCTCAGTAACTCTGCTTTCCATCTCAGCTGCAAGGCCCACCCAGGTAAGCACTAAGCACATCCCTTCTGAGACACCAGGGCAAAGCATGGGCACACAGGCCTTGTAATGACAATTTCCTAAACCAGGCAAGTCCCAGGTCTATCCCTGAACTAAGCATCCCTTCTCACTGGGGAGCTTACAGCTCTTCTGTGCTGCCAGCTTCCAATACCTCTTTCTGTTCTCATGGATTCTGCTCTCTGCAGTCTCTGCCCTTTCATTCTGCTACTTCAAGAAGATGCAAGAATTTTTATCATTTATTGTAGAGATTATCTCAAAAAGGAGGTAAAACACAAGAAAGAGAAAAGGCAATTGAACTACAGTTTCAAATCGAGACAATTTCAAATGGAAACTACAGTTTCAAATGGAGGTATAAGCAGAATATATGATACTGAATAGAAATCAGAAGTGACATACTGAAGGCTGTTCTAACAGTCACATTTTGAGATCCAGGAGCATGAACACAGCAGGAAAAATTCAGAAAAAGCAGGGATACAAAAGAAGTTAGTTTGAGAAATTCGAAAGATGAGAAAACAACTATTATCCTAATGCTTCAAAGTAACAAAAAAAATTAGCTTCTTAGAAAACAGCTGTTCCCTATAAAAGGCAAAGGAAATGTATAGCTTGGGTAATAGAGGGCTGTTTGCAGGCAGAATTTATGCAGACCTCCTCTTGCCTTTAGTTGGAGATAGGCAGAAAACACCTTAAATATCTTGTCTTTCCACAGCTTCCTTACTACTGAGTGAGGTAGATATACTGCTGCTTAAACATACACGAAAGGGAGATAGAACTTACTGAGCAGAAGAAAAGGAACTTTCTCTCCATTCATAAACAATACACTTGGGGCCCACAGTGCCCCCCCCCCCAGTTTAACACAGTATTTAAGAATTTCACTGTTGATCACAAGATTATTAAACATAGTTTTGGAAATGAATACATGCTTTGAAATTGCACTTTGGTACTTCAAAGGAAAACACACAGAAATTGCCAGTTTCCAGACTCAGAAACACAGCCTTGCAGTTCTTCACTCTCACAAGAAATTCATCACAGTCAAAGACAAAATGAGTATTCTCACATCTTACTAGAAAGAGCTATGGATATCAGGATAAATGATACTACAAATAATCAGTCCTCATGGTTTTATCAAGCCCTTAATGCCCTTATCAAGCACCTTAAATCACTGAACTTACACTCCTGTGTCCATAACCATTCATGTAATCCTAAAAATGAGATCAGCAGAAGGTAACTCACACTGGTTGAACACCATGATCACATAAAAGCTAGCAGTATGTTCAAAATTAATTTTATTATTGATTTTCAAAGTCTTCTACTAGAGACTTACAGCGCAGTATAGTTTACTTATGAACTATGAGGTGAGGCAAATTTACCTTCCACAAAAGGAAATACTCATTACCTGGGCTTCTGTCTCAAAGCATGAAATCTTGTCAAGTGGAAACTTTGTTTCACAGTACTCATTTTCTTATTAAATTGGTTTGGTTTCTAGTAGCCAGTCCAACATGAGCAGAGCTCTACCATTATCCCATTACACAATTATTTTTGATCATTGTGGCAGATGGGAAGTTGGCTGAGCCTCACTGCACATTCTCTGGCAAACTGGAACAATACGCAGAACCTGGAATTTAATATTACATGCTCATTTTCTGCTTACCACTGAAGACTTCAGCTTTAAACAGGATGAGCTGAGAGCATTTAAGCACTACAGCTCCTCATTTTCCAGCCTGTGCTCACCATTTGTGGTGCAGATGAGCAGAATCAGAGCAGGAGTGACTGACTCAACAAGGAAACTATTGCATGGCACATAATTGTCTGGGATACCACAGGAGCACAGACTTCACTCAGTGTAATCAAAAGCAAAGTATCTATCTTTTACACAGAACATCTTATAAAGCAATCATGACTTAGTTCCAAGTCTTTTTGTTTAAATTTTCATCTAGGAGTTTTTGTATGGAAAAGCCTAATCAACCTACTTTAGCACACCTTGAAATTATTTTTGAAAACTGAAAAATTGTCTCCCTATAATAATGTAGGTTTAAATCTCCTTCAAATGCTATAGTGTATTGACATATATCCCCACATCGTTTATTGATGGAACAAACTGAAATCTCTATTTCTACAGAACTTCTTAAAAAAATCTAGCAAAATCAGGCACTGATTTCAAGAGAAAGAAACCAGCAAAATTCATTAGATCAATCAGTGAAGTCGGTTTGGTATGTCAGAAATTGAAACAGGTTTTTTTGTATTATTTCGGTCATATATTTTAAAAGCAGAGTTCTGTTCAGGATTTTCTTGGTTTAACTTGCTAATTTTCTTTTCAAAAATGTATGGTCATAGCAGAGTCCTGAAATTATGTTGTCATAACATGACTGAATAAAATCATCTAGCATGGGAAACCTTAATTTTGGCCTAAATAACAGCTGCAAGGCGAAGGCCATTGTTCTTTTTCTGGCTAAATAAAATTTGTTCTCAGTGCGAGAGGGAATTGAATTTCAGAATATCCCACATTTCAGAAGAAAGCAGTGGATTTTCATTAAACTTACTATGTAAAGTTTTTTCTCTGATCAAGGTTTCTGAAACTTCAGAATTTTTTAGGAAGTGAAGTTGATCAGGCCCACAGTACTACCAGGCCTCACTGCAAATGCATCCATAGCTGTACTCCAAGCTGACATACTCAATTACCACAACTGCAAATGTTTTGATGCAGCAGAGATTGGCCCTCTACAGTATTTGTACAATGTTTAAGGCTTATCATAATAAATAAATTAAAATAAAACAAAACATAACATTATGTATAACTGAGTCTAAAACATAATGAGGAAACTGTTTGCCCATGTTGAATGTCTCAATAACAATGTGATATTGCACTCAGTATACCAGCAGATTTTTAATACAGTACACAATACTCAGCAATCATAAAATGGAGAGTCCTGTGGAAATCCTTGATAATTATGTAAACAATGTTTTTTAATGGCTTCTTAATTTTTTCCTAATATTTTTTTAAACAGAAGTAATACAAATAGGAGTACTGAAAAGTAGTATGAAAGAGGTACTATAGAGTAGGAACTGAAGTTCAGTACTTCAGTGACTGTCAGTGCTTTCCACATCAATGTAAGTGGACACTAAGCTCACCTTGTGTAACTGATTTCACACCATATAACTCGGAATACAACCTTTACTCCCACCTGCTCCACAGTATTTACTGTGTTCTTCACAGCCCTTGTAGCCTGGCTGCAGCAGACTAAAGACCCATTGCTGAAAAACAGAATAAACCTGCAGAAGCAATTCACAGGCCAGTTGAAAGACATGCTGTCTCTTTCTGTTGAAAGACTAAGGCTTAACATTAGTAGCAAATGTTTCTGCTATCAGATTTTTCAACAGATGCCAAGGCATTTTAGCTATTTATTGTCTGATTTTTGTAGTAATAAAATTAATACCAGCAAAAGGACTACAGCTTGTCTGTTAATAGTAAATATGCAATAGTGAGCTCAAAATACTTTTCCACTTCATCTGTTTTACATAGCTTCAGTTTTTCATAAAGCCTTTTGAAATTTATTTGAAATTTATTTAATTAATAAATTTCTGGCAATTTCTGGCAATTGCCCCTGCTGAGCACAATCTACAAAGCCAACAATACTCTCAAACTAATGTGCTCTATTTTCTTAAATTTAGTTTCCCTCTGCAGCCTCCTTAAGAACTTTCCTCACCACGTCATTAACTGCACTTGGGTCCAGCACTGGGTTCCTGCAGGAACTCTGCAGGGAAATACTGAATCAAAACCAAAAGGAAATCAGTTTTGCTTTGGCTAAGCAGAATTCTGTGAGCAGAGACAAATTGTTCAGACATCACACTCCTTTCTCAATTCTGCAGTCTTCAAATCTCCAGCTGACATCTGCAACACCCATATGCTTGTACTCTCATTCTATGGGAGTGGCAAAACTAATGTACCCTCTGAATATGGACAGAGAGACATCAAGTGGTTTTTCAGTATATTTTATCTGGAACAGCACCAAACTGCTCACCAGCAGAAGTGACCAGAAATATGGAGAAAAGCTATGAAACGAAATGATGGAAATTGCAACTGGACCATACCATTAAACCCACTTCAAAGCTGGAGTTAATGCCTGGAACAGATGACTCAGCCTAAGTCTAAGATCCTCAGATTTGTGAAAAAGCAATACAATTCTCACAAGCATTTTTCCCTATAATATTCAAAGGCTTAAATTCTGAATTTAATTTCTGCAATAGGTATCCCAGAAAGGAAATAATCCCGAAGTCACAAGAAGGTTCTGCTGTTCTAATTTAGTGAACTATTGCTTCAGAAAGATTTAAATCATAAGTACTGAAAGGAATAAATATTTCCTATGTGAAAATCTGAACAGATCACAATATGCATCTCAAACAAAATAACAAAAAGACCAGCTACTTTAAATTCAATATTGTGAGAAAATCTTGATTTTTGTCATTTACTTTAAACAACACACTTTTACAAAATAAACAAAGGAAACTCAATGAGTGTAAACAAGCAAAGATAGTGACACAATTAATGGCAAAAAGCAAAATTTCCTCAAAGACTGCAGCATATATGTTGGATTTTTTAAATATGGCAGAAACAGACTGAAACACATGCAACAATGACTGCAGTTGTTGTCTACTTACAAGTGGATACACACTAGTTATTTCCTGCTGGAATAACTATTTTTGAAACCTCAGCTGTTAAAATCAAGCAACTTCTCTGCACTGTAAACATAAGGAGTACTTTCAAACATGAAAATGAAGTTGTCCAGTGTGGGTGCCCCAACATAAGCAGAAGAATTCACAGTTGCTCTAAGTTCCAAATTTCTGAGAAACAACTACAAGAAAACCAGAATTTTAGCACTTTCCTTAGTAGAGAGTCATCTAAAGAAGACAGAGACCATCAGTGACCAAGTTATATCACCTGGCCACTGGTTTCATCCATCACAGGCTTATCTTTAGATAACCTGGCTGAAAGGGGAGAGCCCAAGTCTTGCCCCATAACAATGATCAATAAAAGATAGCAGGACTGTCCAGAAAAAGTTGACAAAGACACACAAACAGAACCACACCCTATTGCAGAATTTTGGTGCTTTTGGGACAAGCACAGATTCTATCCCAGTCCTGTAGCTTAACTGTGATTCAACATAGTCTCCAAAGAATACTGCAGGCCATGCATACTGCAGGCCAGTGTTTGATCACTTAAGCCAAACATATGGGTACTTGAGTATGCAGCCTTATTTGTTTTCTCATCTGCTTTGTACTGAATACAAGGACTTTCCCTGAAGATATTTATTGGAATTCCAAATTACCTAACTCCAAGGGCAAGGGCTTGCATTTTATTTTGATACAATTTTAAATTTACTTTTGTTCTTCAACTTTCTTTTCAAGGTCAAGTTGCTTACAAATTGAGTTCACAAACAAGTTATTCTCAGGACAATGAGAGACAAAAAAGCATCATCCTCTTCAGCCAAGAAAGTGACATTTCCAAACGTGACATTTGATCTGTCCAACATAATGCTGGACATGTCCCTGAGTCACTCCAGAAGCCTTCCTCATGTATTTCACGTAGCAGCATACCCCAATTAAGATATTGCACAAAACTGCACGGACTTTTTTAAGCTACAAGAGAAGCAGCCATTCACAGCTACAGCTGCACAAGAACCTGGGGAGCACGACAGGCTGCAAGAGACAAAGCCAAAGAATAAAGAACAATCTTTGCGATCCTGCTCACCAAAGGCATACCCCACCTTACAACCCCATAACACAAGAAACACAAGAGCTGCAGATGAGAACAATTGCTTGCCCTCAACTGCCCAATGCGCACCCTGTCCCTGAGCAGTGACCACCCACCAACCTCCCTTCCAGTTTTATTTCTGAGCATCATGTCCTGTGGTACAGAATGTCCCTCTGGTCAGCTGGGGTCAGGTGTGCTGGCTGTGATCCTTTCCACTTTCTTGTGCAGCCCCAGCCCTCTCACTGGTGCACTGGGGTAAGGATGAGAAAAGTCCTCAGTGCTGCGCAAGAGCTGCTCACCAGTCTCTGAAACACTCCTGTGTAATGGCACTGCTTCCAGCACAAACCCAAATCACAGACCCCTGATAGCTACTGTGAAGAAATTCAGTGCTATCCCAAGGCAAAACCAGTACAAATTGTAGCATGGATACAATTCAAGGAATGCTAAAATTCAAGGAAAAATCAGGGGGAAAGAGACTGGGCAAGAATAAGGAACTACTCCCCTGGTATGCTCACTGACTGGCCACATGAGCTATGCGTCGAATAATGCGGTTCACAAAACACCGGGAACGCCCACTTTAGGAATCCTTTGCTGACACTCCTTGAACTCATTAACCAAAACTAAAACTAAATTGAGAACTTCTTATAGCCTTCATATTCTGTGCAAAGAAAGAATAAATACTAAATTCTTTCAAGATTTTTTTTATATTTTCATAAAGTCTGTATGGAAAGCATGGCAATCTACCAGAGAACCACAACAGAAAAAAAATTTAATTAAATAACCAATAAGAAGCAAAGAGTCCATGGGATAAAAGGGTTGAAGCACAAAACAAGTTCAGAAGTAAAGATGCACCTAAACATTTGTTTTAATTTCATGCAGTTAAACATTTTGCATAGCCCATTCTAATTTCTTGAAAAGATAAATCATGATTTATGGTGATATTTAAAGAGCCTTAGTCAAATATAAATATTATGTCCACAACTAGACACTAAAAGCAGTCTGAAATTGTGTGGAGAAAATTAATTATTTAAGCAGAATTTGCTTCCACAATAATTTTTTCTGTCAAGAAATACTAAAACTACTTACTGTGAACATTCCTTTCTGAAACAATTTAAATAGGTTTTATTTTTAATTACAGTACAAATAATAGAAATTTTTTGAAATTCTATTTGCAATTGCAAAGAATTAGATCTTTTTAAAGTATAAGAATCATTTAAACTAAGTGATTTGCAGAAAAAGTTTTTTAGTGCATCAGTGACATCATGAACCACCATTACAATAACTCCAAAAGAAGACTTGCAATTTAAGTGTAGCTGCTGGGGGTGAAAAGGAAATAAATTAATGGCTAGAAAGACAATTAACTGTTACACAACTACCCAACTGGCTTCAGGAAGTGTTTGGCTTTTGCAAAGAAATCACATTTCCCATTTCTTAGGAGGAAGTTTTTTACTGAAAGAGTGACAAAGTTCTGGAATGGTCTGCCTGGGGAGGTGGTGGAGTCACCACCCCTGGGTGTGCTTAAAAGAAAGACTGGATGTGGCACTCAGCGCCATGGATAGCTGAGGTGCAGGGCATGGGCTGGACTCGATGATCTGGAAGGTCTGTGAACCATGCATCATGAATCAAAACCAACTGTGAAAGAATTCTCTCAATCATGCTTTGCTGTTATAAAACAATTGCTCCAACTTACTCACCTTTTATTAACTGGTTATAAAATTTAGGCTCAATGGCACCAACCGCCATGTATTTTCCATCAGAGGTCCTGTAGGTTTCATAAAAAGGTGCACCGCTATCTAGCAGGTTTTCACCTCGAGGTTGGCCCCAAAATCCCAAATTTTGTGACTTCCACAGGAAAGAACTTAGGTATGATACTCCTTCTACCTTGAAGATTTAGAGAAAAAACAAAAAAGGTCCAGTAAATTAGCTGGCATGTTACCTAAACTCTGTATAAAACAAAGCAACAAAAAGCTATTACCAGTTCTGCCTTTTGCTAAGATTTTTAATGACAGAACCTCTGGTAAGGTTCTGTCATTAACCATTTCTTAAAATTTTCAATTACTGTTTACACTGCATATGTGAAATCATCTAGAATTAGAGAATAAGAAAGAACATAAATGTAGTCAGGCAGCTTCAGATGGACAACACACCTTCAATGCACAAAGCTTCCTCATTTAGCAAGTTTAGAGAATGAGTGAGTAATTTCAAGTGAGGGAAAAGCTTCTTGCCTCTATATAACATTAAGCATCAGACAGCTATCACATCTTCTAAACCTCCTGAAACAAGGTATCTGTACCAATCCCATAAATACCAAATTTTTATCTCCTTTAAATACACTGATTATAGGAAGACTGCTATTTTTAGCAGAAAATTTGAAGGAAATAAAATCTTCAACACTAAGCTAAAACAAAAACTATTCTCCCACTGTCATCACTGGCAGCTACACACACAGCAACAGAATCTCTACATAGACAAGACTTTGATGAATACAGTGCTAGAAAACATGATTAATCCCATTCCAAACTGCTCCTCAAATTTTTGTCTTTGTGCAGTACACCTAGATGAAAATTCAGTTTGTTCAGCTTTTCAATTACCAAGAGCGTACAAGTCTTTAAAAACAAATCACATACTACAGTTTTGCTTATCAGCACAATTAAATTTCTTTCAAATGTATTGAAATTACTGCAAGCAAAGATAAGCCAGCTAATAGCGTATGGCCAGAAACATACCAGCAGAACAGATTAAAACCTGAGATGTATTATTCTGAGTATCACTTGATTAATGCATTTTCAGCTGCATAAAACTAAACTGTCTATAGAGAAAAGCATAGATACTGTGCCAAAAAAAAAGGTTACTAAATTTTCATGCAGAAAGATCTATTAGTTTATACCTTTCTATGCAAAAATTTTAAACATGCAAATTGCTGAAGCATGCAGTCAAGAGGGCTTCTTCATTTAATGTGTGTTACTTGGGCTCTGCTTCAAGGACAGGAATACTTCTATCCTCACTGCCACATGTTAAAGTCAATTAAAGTACTTTCATATGAGAAAATACCGCATACCTTCATCTACATATCTGCAAAATTATTGCAGGGATGTTAAAATAAAGTTTGTTTTACTAACAACCTGATCTTGCACTGCTCATATTAACAAAAAATAACAAAAAGCACTGAAAGTAAGGAAAATAAAAGATGGGGAAAACATTAGAATAAGCCCTAACTGAAAATTAGATTTTGGTGCAGACAAAACTCTTAGTCAGCAGCTGTACAATACCTATGTGCTACTTACCCAGGAAACACTTAAAATAAAACAGCACATCTGGTTTTGACTGGTACAGGGAGTTCAGAAATATCCCTGTCTGGGCAACTGGACAGTTAGGTTCTGCCTGAGGCCCACCACAATTCAGAGACAAATAAAAAAGTGTCTTAACATCTGCACCAGACTTCCAAAGGCATGTAAAAATAACATCACACACTCACTAATGTGGTCACTTTCTTTTACAACATGAAAAGGGTAACATGGAGAGACTCCACTTAAGTCTAATTGCAGAATGATTATAATAACAGTTATGTGTTTCATGTCTCCCTCACGTTAGAGAACATCTGCAGTCTCTGAAGCAGGCACAAGAATCCAGAGGCATCACCCTAATGGGTGACCTGTCGGCTCCACAAGCCTTCTGTTCTTTCCACAGACTGAAAACAGCTCAAACAAAAGTGGGAATGAATCCATACCAAGCTAAACTATCCTTGTGACTGATGCAGGCTCCTAGGATGTGGGAGTTTTGGTTTTGAGTACCTCCAGGCTGAGAAAAACCTGGAACCTCAAGTCTTGTTGCATTGCTAAATGCTCCTGCCACGAGACTCTTATGCAAGATATCGCTATCAGCATGCTTTCCTGTGGCTGTCTTTTCACAAAGAGTGAGTTATGCTCAGTCAGATGCCCACCACCAGCAGAAGGCTCTGTGGCTGAAACTCTAGTGAACCCCAGCCGTGGGCCTGACTCACATGCCTCTGTTCCAGTGTGGTGCAAGAATGCAGAGGTACAATTCTGCCTACTGTGTCACATCGCAGTGTTCACCCCACATGGCATCTGGCTTCCTGTAAGACAGCCATGATCCCCACAGGGTCAATGAGAAGGGACAGCAACCAACAGGAATCAATTCAGGCCAGGAACAATTCTTATGAGACAGATGGATGAAATGCTAAACCCAGTGCCTACTTTTTGCACAGTTTCTACTATAGAAAATTCTACCATGTGTCTGAGTCTTTAACATATTCAGACTACCTAAATTGTACAACAGCTTAAGTAAAGGGTCTCTTAAACAAAAAACAGTCTTAAAACAAAACAGCTGAAATGGCGCAGTGTTGTGATTTTTAAAACAATTCCTTCCACAAAAAAAATAACTCGGGTGTAAAAACAGGCTCATCCACCACTCAATTTAATGCAGTCGTTACTGCTGATGATGCATGAATAATTTTTATCAACGATGTCACTGAAAGTCTATTCAAGAAATGGGGAATATGACCAAATATCGGGTAAAGTACATCTTGTGGTACTGGACAATATTCTGTCCATGTCATAGGTCACCAGGCACATCAGCAGGGAACTGTAAATTCCACAATTCTGATGAGACAAGAAAAAACTGGAAGAGACCATCTTAAGGGCTTAAGGGCTTAAAAAAGCCCCACAACACATTCCACTCCAAATGAGCTACAAATGTCATTAGAACATTAGCAGACTTAACTGACTTCTCTTCTAACAAATTCCTTTAATTCTCTGAATTATGATAAGGAAAATTTGATAATACTACAAACTACAAGAAATATATTTTTAAGTATTTGAAGGCTTGTCACTATTCTCCACAGTCTTTCTTTCACAAATACACAATCTCCTCCAATTCTTCTTTTAGGTCATGCTTCTAGAGTCATAATTTTTGCTGTGCTACTTGGGCTTCCTCAAATTAGCAACTTTGAAAAATGATGGTCAGCGTCCAAAACATTATTTTGCTGAGACTTCATAAACATTGACTAGGTTAGAATAATTGCTTCAGAAACTTTGCTGGCTCTATTTCCTGTTTATACATCCTAATACAGTATGTATGTGTTTTGTAAAAGCATGATATTGTTGACTCATGTTCAGCTTGTGACTACTACGAACCCCCAGGATTGTACTTTAGCCAATTGTTCTCTCACTGTTACTGCATTTGTGCAGCAAATTGTTTCTGCCTACAAAGGACCACGGAGCAGCAATGTCTGTGAATGGCAGCCAGTTCTTTCAGGTCACTGCTCCTATCCGAAAAGGTAATTTTCAATTCTAACCCAAGTCCAGCACATTTGTAGTCCTTCACATACGTGTATCATCTGTAAATTTACTAAACACAGTCACTCATCTATCATTCAGCTTATTGACAAAAACAAAAGGAAAAAAGTCCCAACAAAGATCTATAGAACTCCATTAGGTAAGGTTTTCATTTTGGCAATCAGCTACTAAAAACTTTTGCTGCAGTAAAAACATTAGTCCTGTTTTGCACTGTTCCCATAAAATTTTGATCTAGACCGCAATGCCATGGACTGCTTCTGAAAACATCATGTGAATTTGTAAAAAACTTACCGAAATCAAGAAATCCAACATCTCTTGCTGCTCTACTCTCTTCAAGACCCCTTCAACAAGGGGATTTGTTTCAATTAATGTAATTTTTTTTTCAATTTATGTTTAAGGCCAAACCTGAGTCTTCACTAAGGTAGTATGCCTCAAACGGAGGTCAAATTTTAACTGCAACACTCTTTAAAAAGAAAAATGGAAGAAAAAGAGAGGAACAACAACTGTAGATAACAAATTTCAAAAATTAATGTAAGTAGTTATTTTTCCTCTGTGTTTAAGTGGGTGGCCTTCAGTGAAAAAATATTCATTAAGCTAATTTAGTCTTTCATTTATTTTACAGCACAAAGTGTCTGAAGTTGACTTCTTGGCAATGATCCACAGGCAGTGTAACTATCCCAGGGAACAGTGTTTCTAAATAAGATATGACCTGTCACAAATTCATAAGAAGATGTATCTTGAAGAAAGCTAATGCGATTTTACTCCAAGAGTACCGCAATTTTTGCTGTTATACAGTAAGCCAGTTGTTTACTATATACCCTATCTCCATACACCACACTTACTCTTCAAATACATAGTGCTAATACTTTGTGAAGTAGGCAGACAGGCAAAAGCAGGGAGAGGGGAGAGGCTGCAGTATGGGTTCCATGACATAAGGATGTTATGGCAGCAGTGATACATGAAAATTGCTTGCATGTGAAGGAACAGCCATTTTATGAGATCACTCACTTTCCCAACTTCTCAATTCTAAACCTTACAACGTCCTCCCCTTCCCAGATTTAGAGTAGGAGAACACCCAAGCAAGCCTAAGAAACCCCAAGTTCCTTGAGAACTTACCATACTTGCATCAATCACCTGCCCTTTGCCAGATTTGGCACGTTCAAAGAGGGCTATAACAATGCCCAGTGCACACATGACACCTCCACCAGCAAAATCAGCCAGAAGGTTTATAGGTGGAAAAGGATTTTCATTCTTTCTACCCAGCTTTGACAGCACACCTGACAAAAGAGAAAACAAAGCAAGGATAAGCATAAAATTATTATAAACATTCATTTCTACAAGTAAAAGTTTCATTCTTTTCAAACCACGCAAATAAATAAGGTATAAAGCAATCTTCTAATGTTTCCTGTTTCTGCTTGGCTGACTCTTTAATTCTCAGAAGAGTGAAAATATATGAAATCACAATAGTGAAGATGTAATTAATTAAAGAGATTAACAAAACTCTCACAGCTAAACATTGATATTTTGACTAAGGAGGGACAAAATTTTAGTTTAAATAAAATTTTATAAAAATCCAACCCTGCGTGCAGTAAATCTATATTAGTACTTTGTACATGCATTGGATCTCACCCATAAAGAGGCACTATGAATATGTCTCAAAGCCACTTTGATAAAGTGTTCTTCTTTGAATATTTTAAACAAAAATGCAGATGTATAGTCTTATGAGCTCATAAAAAAGGAACTAATAATCATAACAAAGGATGTCACACTGACAACTGTGCTTCAGTCCTATCCTCTCTCTCCAACTACGTCTGGGAAAAAAAAGGTTGCACATAGGAACAGGTGACTAACTCAGGAAGGTTATCTCTGATTGCATGCAATGTAAACACAGGGAACCTATGTTTATGCCAGCAATTATGCAGAAACAAACAGAATTAGAGCAAAGGCTAAGCCAGTTTACTTCAGTCAGAGCTTTGAATTTGTTAGGATTTCTCTGCCACCCTGAGCAACCTCCATACTGTAACCTTACTCTTTATAGTTGCCATACAGCAATTCCCTTTGGGCAAGCAAGAAACTGCAGTGTGATCACCCCTCTCCTGTGTCTGCGGCTTGAGACTTGCAGAATACACAGTCAGAAATTCCTGAGAATTGCACGGTTCTGATGGACTGTTTAATTAACAAATAGTCTAATGCACTTCCTATGGGCAACAGAGTGCACAGTATAGTAATTTCCAAATCCTGTAGTGCAGGAGTAAAACCCCTGCTGCTGCCTAAAACCTTCCTTTTAATAGTTTAAAAAGTTGTCACAGGCACCAGAAAATTAATATACCGAGAGTTCCTAACACAAAATATTTTCTTAAGAGTTCCTAACACAAAATATTTTTCTACTTAAAGGAAGACAAAGCTTACTAGAAAAATACTCAAAATATGAGATCTCATTTTTGAGGAATGACACCTCTCAAACACCTTGCTCTATTTCTTTTTAATAGGCAGAAAAACTTGATCTGTGAAATTTCAAGCAAAATTATTTTAGGAAGCTATCACTAACCAAAAGACTACTGATTAAATCAGCTCCAGAGCTAAAAATCACTATTTGTAAACCAGAAAGTAGTACAAACTAAGGTAGGGATGGACCATGCTGTTTCTGTACCAAGTCTTTCCCTCCACTAATAGATAAAAATACCCTAATTCTTTGAAATTGTCTTAACATGAAGTCAAAGTGTTTCAAATGAGACATCTTTTCTTTAATCTTTTCTACTCTCTAACAATTTTCCATGAGGGAAGACTGAATCCATCTCTAAAGAAATTTAATTCCACATCATTATGACTGCTCATAGTAGCAGATACCAGATCACCACGTTGGCATTGCCTCTGCTCCGTCCCTTTCTTGGAGCTACAAGAGCTACTTTATCCAGTGGGAAGCCCAGAACTTTTGGGCCACTTTCCTCCTTCACAGGCATCAGTGACAGAAAGCAGTGTGAAGAGCAGGAGGTAGGGCCATGCATGGATGGGAAGCACCTGAGGTGTGTATTTTGTTTCTGTTTGCTACTACATACTTGTAAAGCCATACCACTTAAAACCAGTGTAATGTCCATAACACCTTAATGAAATGTAGCATTTCCACTTTATTTGAAGCCTACTTCCTTTCAGTTGGGATCAGTGGAGACATATTTACAAGCAAAAACGCACAAGATCTCAATTGTCTTGTGCTGCCTAGTTTTTCTATGCTCAAAAAAATCTGCTCACCAGCACATAAAATAACCTGCAGCCCTTTCAGGATTATAAGTATACAGAGTTTCTAGGAGAGGGGCACTGAAGAAAATATTCAGTCATCTCGTCAAATAAATATTCGGATACTTAATTCAGATAGAATAGCACCAAGGAAGGAAAATAATGTACAGCCTGGGAAGACATGCTGATCCAGCCTGTAACAGTTTGCTGCTGCTGGAAAACATGTCCAGTACATGTTTCCTCCTTTGGTGTGCTGACTGTTGGTTGGATCCCTCATTGAATGCTTCACCTTAACAACCTGGCAAAGACACCCTCAATTGTTCTGGCCAGTTTCTGATTTGTGAGGAAGTTTACAGAGGGGCTGGGCAAGTGCCAGAGCTGACTGAAAGCATCAAGGAAAAGCACAGACAAAGGAAAGCCCCATTTCACTGACAGCAACACTTCAGATCAGCTGTTTATCAGACTGCACGTCAGATAAATTTTGAGCTACCTGCTTTCATCAAGTTCTTGAGTCTTGATCAAAGGGAGGAAAGATGCTTTATTTAACAGGAAATTTTACAGCCTACCTGATAAAGCCACGTAATTGATGTCATGACCCGCAGACTTGGCATATTTTCCTGTCTGGCCAAAACCAGTAAGTCTAGCATAGATGAGTCTGGGATTCTCCTGTAGAAGGACCTCTGGGCCAAGCCCAAGTCTTTCCATGACACCTTCAAAAGACATAAGTAAGGAATTCAAATTCACATTTAATAATTCACAAAACATAATGGTTCAAAGTTAGATTATGCAATAGCAGAACTTCACTTTTTGAAGTAGCACATTCTACTTCAGTACCCATGTTACAACACGAACATTATCAATTACCAACATACTGCATAAATTTTTAATATAAACCAAGCAGAAATTAGGCTTTAGGGGATCTTTTTTTCAGCTTTTATTCCTGTTTTACCACTGGATGAGAAAGCCATCCAAGGCTAGTAAAACAAGGAAAAAAAAAAAACATTTTCTGTATCCAAATCCCTTGAATATTCATCTATACTTTTCTGCAATATACCTTGCTCACCATTTCTCAGTAGCTCTTGTTCCTGTGTGTTTTAACGCACTGATGTGACTGGACCATGCCACTATTCCACAGATGATCTGTAGGAACCACGCGCCAGTAAATGGGCTCTTTTTTAATGCAGAGAATAAGGAACTTTTAGAATCAGTGGTATATAAGCTGAATAAGCATGGATTTACAGAAATCAAAGCTAAATTTTTAATCTTGCAGTGGTTTTAAGAGAAGAAATTTGAATTGCAAATGTGAATTGTACTTTCTTACTGGTTCAGTGCAGTTTGGTCAGACTTTTACCAATAGTCTATAATGGTACTGCAAGGCCACATATTTTAGAATTGATGGGATAACATAACTTCAATTCCTACTCCACCCGAAAATCTGTAATTCCAGCTTGTTTCACAAAATTAATCTATATTTTTACTACATCACCAACTTCATACAGATCAATTTCTACTGCACTAAATACTGGGCAGCTGCAAATGATTACTCCCAAGAAGAAAGCAGTGAAATTTGGCAAAATGCATGATTTTCAAGCGCACAAGTGGAAACAGGGGGACAAATAACCCCTCTGTTGTCACAAAGTCATTGCTGTAAAGTCACACATGCCCTGCAAGAAACTGTTCTGCAGCTCGGGCCCTCAGCTTCTCACTGTTTTCCAGCAGTCTCATGAACTTTCTTATGTAGCTCACTTACAGGCCCTTCCAACCTAGTATCTATTCACAAAATTGCCTGTACTTCCAGCCGTGAAAAAAAAACCCAGCAAGTGCCCATAAGACCAAAGAAAACAAAATTTCATGACAAAAAAACCAGGAGACTAACTACAAGGCAAAAGTGGAATTTAACTTCTTCCTTTTTCTTTCTGCTGAGCTTCTGGGGAGTAAAACAAACAAGGTAAGGTGAGGTAAGGTGAGGTAAGGTGAGAATAAACCCATTTTCTGAAGAAAAATAATTACTTGTGACACACAATCTGTCCATGATGTATGATGTCTAAACAACAGTCTCCTATTTCTAAACTGTCTGTAAAATCTCCAAAACATTTCAGCTAGCTCCTCAATGAAGCATGATTACAGAATGGTTTGGGTTGGAAAGGACCTGTAAAAGTCACTTACTCCAAGCCCCTGTTGGGAGCAAAGACATCTTCAACTAGATTCGTGTACACAAAGCCCTGTCCCACCTGACCTTAATGGCATTTTTTCTAACAGAACAGCACCCTCAAGGAGCACGCAGGGCTTATAAATGGAGGGGACATGGACATGGTAAACCTGAAACGTCTATTGATCTTAAAATGGCATCAATTTTGCTACTGAAAATCAGACATTTTGCATCCCTATACATGGCCAATTAGTAAATATGCATACTTTAATTAAAAAATGAACTGAAAGTTCTCTTTAAAAAATCAGTTTTGAAAAATTGAAAAATTCTGTAATTGAGTATTTGAAGAATTTTTGTCTTTTAACCTAATGTTAAAAAGGAAAGTCCTTGCAAAAACACAAGGAAGTTTTTCATAAAGTAGATTTAATACTGGCAGGAAGTGATCAGTTTGTAGAATGCAACTTCCTAAAATTAAACATGATGTTTAAAGATAAGGACTGTAGATCATACCTGGATTTGATCCTGAATCAGAGTAACCCTGTATAACATAATCATACTACTCTATTTAACACACTCAACTTTTATATTCCTCTCCCTGGGATCTGTGCTTTTTAAATGTGTACCCATAATGTCAGATCTCCTGTCTTCAGAGGAACTCTGAAGATCAAACTCTGACCGGCACAGCAACAATGGAGTTGCACTTTAGCAACAGGCCTGCATATCACGCAGGATGGTGCCCCCAGCTCGGTGTGACCCCTCGGCTCGGACACCTTTCTGCTCATTCAGGGCTCCAAGCCCGGTGTGACCCCTCGGCTCGGACACCCTCCTGTTCGCCTAGGGTTAGCAGCTCGGTGTAACCCCCCGGCTCAGACACACCCTTCTGCTCATTCAGGGCTCCAAGCCCGGTGTGACCCTTCGGCGCGGACACCCTCCGGCTCCTCCAGGGCCCGGCCGGGAGCACGGCCCTGTCTGAGGGCTCTCGGCGGTTCCTCCTTGTGGTTTCACATGGCGGCTGCACTGCACAAATCCCCCACACAGCATGCGCCCCTAGCGCCTCCGGAGCTGCTTCCTGCCCGCTTCCCATTCAGAATCGCAGAGGCCACAGACAAACGGGAGGCCCTCAGCACGGGACCCGCGGCCCCGCAGCTCCAACCTCCCCCTCGTTCCCCACGGCCCGGCCCGGGCTGCCGCGGCCGCAGCGCCGCCCCGGCGCGGTTCCCAGCAGTCGGGGCCCCTCACCGTGGCGGAAGGGCTCGATGAGCACGTCCGCCGCGCCGCACAGCCGCCTCAGCACCGCAGCGCCCTGCGGCTGCTTCAGGTCTAGCGCCAAGGAGCGCTTCCCGCGGGCCTGCACGTCTCCGTGCACTAAGGCCGCAGCGGACTGAGACGGGCGGTCGACTCGCACCACCTGCGCCCCGAAGTCGGCGAGGATCATCCCGCAGAGCGGCGCGGGCGCCAGCCCGGCGAGCTCCAGCACCCGAACCCCGCTCAGCGCCATCGTCACGGCCTCCTCTGCCGCTGTCGAGCGCCCATAAACCGATCCCGGAGGCGGCCCGCCCCGCCCGCTCCCGCGCGGCCCCGGGGCCGGGGCGGGCTTCTGCCGCCCCTCGCTCGGAGGCACCGGCCCCGCTGCTCCGGGTGTTCACCCCGAGCCCTGATCGCCCGCGGGCGGCTCCACTGCTCTCCGCGCCGGCTCGTGGTGAGGAGGCGTAGGCGTTCTCTTGCTGCGGGATCGGCATGCAGCTGCTCTTGGGGGAATCTCCCTGTCCGACCATGCAGGAGCCAGCCCCCCTGGCCGTCAGACCCGCACCACCGGAGCTGGCACCGAGGCCCTTGGCAGCCGCGCAGCCCCCCACACTCACACTGGCTCTCCCATAGCAGAGAGCAAATTCTTCAAATAATTTAATCATGATGCAATAACCAAACAACAAAGAGTGATCCGCTGCCTCCATGTAGGGACCCCGAACAAAGGAAACCATGGGCTTTTACATCCCTACAGCCCAAGGGCAGGAAAGTCACAGAATCACAGAACCGTTCAGGATGGAAGGGACCTCCAACATCGTAAAGTCCAGCCTCTGAAGTCTGAGGCTGGGTGCCATCGTGTCCAGCCGGTCTCCTGGCCGGGCCACAGGTTCCTGTGCCTGTTGTTAGGAAAAGGGTCAGCAGTCCTCGGCCTGGGCTCCAGCCATGCCCGGGGCACCTGCATGGGCCAAAACCCCCACGCCCAAGGCCCCCAGGTCACAGGGTGGGATATTAGCAGGACACGTGATTAAAACTTGGGGTTTCTTTCCACCAGATGTTTCCTCAAAGAGGGCGGCCTGGCCCTGTTATTCTTGCGGCATCAGCTGCTTGCAGGAACCGACATAAATCCAGAAAGGATAATGAAATCTTTGGCATTGTATTGACACAGCTTTTCAAACTTAGGCTGTGCTCCCAGTATTTCTGCATACTGGGATACAGACAGAGCAACTCATGCTGACATTATAAATTTCTTTTAATTGGTTAGACTGTGAAAACCTGTAAAGGCTGCTAACTTGAATGCAGAAATTTTTCTCATTCTACAATAACAGGTCTGTTATATACCCTTCATTTTCTGTGCAGACACCAGGTCCTGTAATGCAGGGACTGATTATGTCCACTACTATGGTGCTACCCACAAGAAATGGCCAGGAGAAATGTATTTGCATTTTCATTCAAATGAAGCTGGCTAGTTTTGTTTGTTATCCATCTCCCTTAGAGACACCATTCCATGTAAGGGTTTGTTTTCAGAGACATTAGGATGTTACTGTGACACTGTGTTTCTCTAACTAATTTTCAGTTTCATTTGTCTCCTCACACCTTCAGGTCTTGGAGTTTATGTTGAATACGAACAGGCAATTTCTGTTGTATCACCTTTGATTTCACCTGATGCTCTTTAGTTTACCCCATCTATATAACAGCATAATCACACACTGGAAAATGTCTGGATTTTGCTATGGTTTAACTGAGCAGTCCTTTGCACCTGCTGTTTAGTTGTCATCCAGAATTACAGCGAGTGATCTGTGGCAGAAACATTTAAGTCAGAACCCTATTAAGTTATTTCAGTCTCAGGGAGGTGAGGGCAGCATTTTATGAGCATTAACTCCAGTTTGAAAAATTGGATTTTACCAAACCGAAAAATAAACAGGCATGAGAGAGAAACAGATATTCTAATCAACCATGAGATGAATGCTAATAATTTTGAGTCCAGCAAACTCTCCTGAAGCAGCAAGTTGGCCAGCAGAAAATACGTGTTATAAATAAGATCTTCTCTACCATGGGTTTGCAGTGTGCAAAAAACAGTGTGATGTTCATCTATGTGATGCCATTTAATACTTCTAATTAATAAGCAGCAGCAAAGAGAAAGGCACATGAATTCACCATTGCAGAGTAATGGGTATGTGAAAGGAGTTGTCTCTGTCAGAGTGCTCGTGTGTGCTTTATTCTGTTGCATCAGTGAGTTGCTGTCTGTGTCATCCTGTGAAATGCATCTTTCACAATCAGCGTTCAAAGACTGAAATTGTTTTTACTGTGACTTATATCAATATATCCTGCAGAGCTTTTGCAATGCACACTGCATGCCAGACTATTACTTTTGGTCTCAGATTTGTTGATTACAACTATCCATACATTTCAGTCCATTGGAAAAATACAAAGGCAGCAATGTGAAGTTACAGATGTACACAAAGTCTGGATTCTCCTCTTTCACATGTATGTTGTTTACAATTTAGTCCATCCTAATGCATGGCTAAAGAGATACTGATATCTGTAGGGTTTGTATTGATTTTGTTAAAGGAAGAAGCAAAAATTACATTTGTTATAATATTTCAAATCTTGGTAACTATAATTGACTGAAGATGTAAGTAGCAGGTGAAATTTCTCTACTAAATTGAAAGATACTTGCATTAAACTGAAATATAGAACTTTAAAGATTCTCATGGAATTTTATGGTAGTTTTGTGCCCCAAGCTTGTAAAAGCTTTGAAACATGGTTGCTTTATCCCAAAGCTTGCATTCATGCCTTGCCTGAATAGAAACTGTGCTCCATTCATAGCGCTTGATACCCACAGAAGTGGTGTGGGGGATCCTCCACATTTCTAACTTCGTACCTTGTGCTGTTGTGACAGACACACTGTCCCTTATACAGTGTTCTTGCCAAACGCAGCACCTTAATCTCTGCCATTTCAATGGATTCATCAGTTTGGAGCATCACTTTGCTTTTCTGTGTTTCCGTGCTTCTGTGTGAGTGTGAATTTGTGCACTGCTGCTCTCCCAAGTGCACATCCCACCACTCAGCAGCAAAAAAATCTATCCTGAGATCATTATATCCTTCTAAAGCAGCTATGAATTCGTGCTACTTGAAAATCTGACTGTCTGTCTGAAATCATGAATTACAGATGTAGAAATAAAAGCTCTGTCTCCTCCACAGAAGGTAATTGTATAAGCTGCCCTGTTCACTAAAATAGACATATTCTTGAAAAATTACAATTTGCAAGTTTTTTTAGTCCAGTCAGTCACTGAGGTGGTGACCTGTCCCAGCTCTCCTGAACAGGCATTGCCTTTAACTTTCACATTGTCCGAAATTTGCCCCCTCCTACTCTGATAAGTATGAATTTCAGGTTACTGGGATTACAAATTACTGATGCCTGTGACGGTGGTTTCTGTACTTTGGACCTCAACCCTTGTACCTGAAGCAAAATATTTTTCTTTCCTTTGAAACAGGGCATGTAGTATTAATGTGCTTTCATGATTTAGATGAAGAGAATGGCAAGAAACTTTATGTAGCTAATCTTTATTTTTGGTAATCAGGAGAAAATAAATACTTTCCCGTGAGTTTATTATTAACTTCTGTTGTAGAGGCTGGAAACTCTAGACTGGGATTATTTCCACATTTTATTTGCCTGAATACTGAGCTTGTCTGTGCTGGACACGACATGAACTCCTGTTTAGCCACCCTGCCCTAAACTTACCTTCAGTGAGCCATTCCTGCCAGATAACACTGTCTGCCACATTCACCAGAGGCAATTTCTCCTGCATTGCTAGGGCAATGAATTGAGGAACCTTTATTTTTGTTAAGTGTTTCCATCATCTTGCCCATGAGCCATTTACTATGTGTGTTATGGCATACCTAATACTTGTTATTTATTTTGTGAGTCTTTAATGATTTGACAGAACAAGCATTCTGAGGAGCAGGTTGTCTTGGAGGAAAGAAAATGTTGATCTGAAGTGATGCAGTATCTGAAAAATTTTCCTTAAAACAACAATGCTTCAACTGTTTTCTAGTTAAAAAATGAACATGAGACAAATTAAATTCCATCCGGCGCTTCCAGCTGCAGACTAGGACTTGCACAAGGCAGAATGGCATAATCTCTGAATTCCAATTTCCTGGCCTGAAATTCTAGTCTTTGCAGACTTCTTTGACTTTCATCATCTTTACTATGCTGGAAGAGCCTGGAGTGTTTTTCTGTCAAAAAAATTCCAGGATTGGGAAAAAAAAAAAAAAACTCTTACAAGGTATTCTAAAATGAAGGTAGCTGCAGTTAATTTAATTCTGCTAATCTTTCTTACATATTAGTGTTCACTATTTTTACAGTAAAGTCACTTTGTTAACTGTACATTTGGATGGAGACACTGAATGAAGATGTTCTGTATATTTTTCTTCCTGTCACATTCCAGTATATGTGCAAGTCCTTATTCAGCAAGAATCCTATACCTGCTGCTGGACAAGGCCAAAGAACTAGCATGTGACTAGATGATGGGAGGATCACACCATAAGACACATTCACAGGAAACAGAAGCTGAGATGTGATGTCAAAGATAACTTGAACATGGGTGTTTCCACTCTTAGTGTTATAGCAATGTGATTCTTTTTAAAAACTGTTTTTTGTGGATTTTTTTTTTAATGTCTGATGGACTGTTTCCAGAAAAGCAAGAAAATAGCCCTCAATTTGTGCAATTTTTCAGCAGCTGATACAAGATGTCTTTTTGTTTAATAAAATCTTGCCACATGTGGGTTTTATTTATTCTGTGAATGTGTTCATGGAGGATAGCTTGCTCCATTCCAAATGCAGATGCACAAAATTGAGCCTCTCCCACTCTCATCCTTAAGTCTTCATGTCAACCTCTGTGCACTGAGTTTATCAGTCCAGTGGCAGAAGACTGGAAATTA